TTAGATGAAGACTAATAGCAAAACATATTTAAGCAGTTTACAACTATATTTTCCTATGATTAAAGTTGATAGTATACATCACTAAGGATTCATTATAATATGGTATGGGAGGAGATCCATGGGGGTGGGGAAGAGTGAGGGTTTGAAACCAACCCTACTGATACCACAGCGCTTCCACACAGACAGTTGTTGTTAGGTGTCATCAAGTCAGTTCCCACTCATAGTGACTCTGTAGGGCTTCTGAGGAGCGGCTGAAGGGTTTGAACTGCTCACCTTGTGGCTCAAACTGTCCTTGTGGTCCAGTGCATTATTCTGCAGCACCACACCAGCAATCCTCCAAACAGATTACTGCCAAGGAAAGCCTAGGGAGCACTTCACCTATGTATAACACATCAGGGGTTGACATGAATTGGAATCTACTGGATAGGTTTGTTGTTGTTGTTGTTAAGTGCCGTCAAGTCAATTCCAACCCAAAGCGATCCTGTATAGGATTTCCGAGGAGCAGCTGGAGAGCTTGAACCACCGACCTTGCAGTTCAAACTGTTTTACAGTCTGGGTGCATTAACCCACAGCACCACACCAGGACTCCACCGGATAGGATTGGGGACAGCTACATTATGCCCTAGGGCATTTCCCTAGAATGCTATTGCTGTTTGTCATTGAGTTAAGTGCCCTCGAATCTATGGTACTTTCAATATTTTTCCGAATCATAGGACACTGCATAGGGTTTCCTAGGAGCTGCTGGTGGGTTTGAACCACCAGTGTTGCAGTTAGCAGTCCAGTGCTTATCCTATAGCATCACACCAGAGCTCCAAGTGGCCTCGATCTAATGACATTTTATGTATAACAGAACTGAACATTGCTGGTCCTCAGCCATCTTCATTATCCTTGGTATGTTTCAGTTCTTTGTAGTAGTTTAATTATGTCCCTCCACCTCATTAAGGATCCCTGGAGTAACCTGCTCCTTTTATAACATTCCAACCAGAATAACAGTCAGATTCTTTGGGAAATGCTTAAGTGGTTCAAAATTCATCCCACAGATATTTTATTTCTCCCAATTGTAAAGCATGTGCTACATGCTTTGTATGGAACATACAAAGGTTAATAATTATGTGAGTTAATATTTACCAAATGCTTAAAATGACACCTTATATTTATTAAATACCACATACACATGCTGCTCCCTACAAGGGGCTTACAATGTAGCGAATGTGATACGCCTAACACGAAATCATTTGTATGCCATAAAAACTAATATAAGGTGACCTAGCTATGAGTCATAACCAATTCTATGGTTATGACTAACAACAACAAAACTATGTAGTAAAGGCAATAAATGCTTAGGAATTGATAAGATTGATATCCTTGAACTGCAGTAACCAAATATTCCATTTACAAGGTGAAGTGAAACTGAGTCATGAAAGGAGAGTTGTTTTGTAAAAAAATTAATCTAAAACATTTTCCCCAATCACTTGAGTTGTTCATCTCCTAATAGCATGGGAATTCATCCTGAAGAATATGTGTTAATACTAAAATTTACTGTTTTCCTAGTTCAATTAATGTTAACTCTTATCTCATATTAAACAAAATATGTCTATGATTGAGCCTAAGACACTGTTGATTACAGACAAGATAGTTTTCTGTTTCCTTGAAGGGAGTAAATCCTGAGCTGTTACTTGGCCAAGATTTAGAACTAATTAGTTAACAGAATAGCTTTTGGGTTTATGAGAAATAATTCTTACTCAGCTGATAGTTACCTATCTGAACATAACTCAAAGTAGCATTCAAAACATATCAAAGAGCTACTTCTCTCTAGGTATTTAGTCACAAACACAAAGTTATGAGGATAATGACTTGACTCACATCCTTTAAAATATGTACATATACGTAGCTAAGACCCTGATGTGGAGTCCTGGTGTGGCACTGCGAGTTAATGCACTGGACTGCAAAATCAGCTTGAACCACAAGGTTGGCAGTTCAAGCTCACCAGCTGTTCCTTGGAAACCCTATACAGGGTCGTCAGGGGTCGGAAGTGACTCGATGGCACTTGACAAGGCCCTGATGTGGCATAGCAGGATAAGCACTGGACTGCTAACCACAAGATTGACTGTTCAAACCCACCAGCTGCTCTCAGAAACCCTATACAGGATTGCCATGAGTTCAAACCGACTCTACGGCACACAAGGCAAAATTATTGCTGTTATTTTGTTTTGTATCTCTATTTACTTTTGTTGTCTGTGTGTGTATGTGTGAGTGGAAATGAAATTGGCTTACTCTTAGAACCCTAATGTACCACTGTCAAGTTTTTCATATGCTTGTAAATAAACAGCAAATGGGCTATGGTCTCATAATTTTATTTTAGTCAAATTTTCAACAAAGAACGCTTTTTACTTTTAATTGAATGCAAATTATGTAGTCTCACCCTAGACACTTTCAACTGCAAAAGCAAAATTTGAATCACTTTTTAATCATTTGTATTTACACTCAACACAGCCTATAAAAATGCTGCATCAGAATAGTGTCTGTGGTTTTACCACTTTATGGGGTCAGAGCAATGAGAATAAAAAAGAGCTATGGTGGGGAATAAAGTGCTAATTGGTGATTTTTAGATTGTAAATAGTGACAATGAAAATGAAAGCAAAAAACAGTTTAAATGGTGGGATACTTATAGCTAAGGAGCTGTAGTAGCGTAGTGGTTACAAATCGGGCTGCGAACCACAAGGTCAGCAGTTCCAAACTATCAGCTGTTCCGTGGGAGAAAAATGAGGCATTCTGCTCCCATAAAGATTTACAGCCTCGGAAACCCCGTACAGGGTCACTATGAATTGGAACCGATTCCATGGCACACAGCCACCACCACCACTTATAGCTAAGTGAAATTGTGAAGTAAAAAAAGATGTCTTCAATACCTTTCAGATGCTTTTCTCCCCATGTGGATATTGAGGGCTGCAAGTTGCTCCCGTCTCCAGACCAACCAACAGGACATTTTGTTCCACCCAGGCGGTGGAGACAGTACCTATGGCCACCCCTTTCTTCTTGAGCTGCCCTATCAAATTGTTTTGTTCAGCTCTTTTACTTCATCATTCCTTCCATTTGCTTTAACTTCTCTACTTTTAAGTTTCAGTCTCTTCTAGCATATATTTTGGTGTCCTGTATTTTTAATGACATTTGGCTTTCCTAATTTATGATGTTCATGATGTCATTCCACAACTCTTCTGATTTTTGGTGTCTAGTGCCTAATGCATCAAATCATTTCTTCAGACAGTCTCTAAATTCTATTGAAATATATTCAATTGCCTTATATTCTTGTGGACTTGTTTTAATTTTCTTCAGCTTCAGCCTGATCCTGTATATGAGCAACTGATGGTCTGTTTCACAGTCAGCCCCTGGCCTTTTTTTGAGTAATGATATTAAGCTTCTCCATTGACTCTTTCCACAGATGTAGTCAATTTTATTCCTGTGTATTCCACCTAGGGCAATCCATGTTTATAGTCACTATTTATGTTGCTCAGAAAAGGTATTTGCAATGAATAAGTTGTAGGTCTTGAAAATTCTATTATGTGA